TGCCCCAGTAGCGGAACTCAACCTTGCACAGCTTATAGGCGCACATGAGGGGCCCCGTCTGGGCTGCTGTGCGTGCCCAGTCGTCAGTCAGCGGTCCTCGGCCCGTCTTGGCCGAGCGGTACAGCCGGGGGTCCTCTTCTGCTTTGTACTCGCCTGGGGCCACTGCATCCCGCACAATGTCGATAGTATCTGAGGGGGTTCCAGCAGTACTGAGCAATACCAGCCCCCTCCAGCCCCTGCCACCCCCTCCCCACTTAGGGATTGGGAGGGCAGATTTTCATGCATAGGAACCGAGGCCCAGGAGAGCCTGAGACTTGTCAGAGGCTGCCTGTCAAGGGGGCAGGTGGCCTGAGAGGGGCTCCAGGTCCCCCCACTGGCTCTAGGCCTCACCGAGGATGCGCTGTCTCCTCTCAGCCCCACTCAGGTTGAAGACATTCGGCTGCTGCCCCCCATCAGGCAGGTAATAGGTCTCTATTTCAATGGAGAATTTCTCCACAAAGGGGCAGGTGTACCTAGGCAGAGGGCAGGGGCGAGGGTTATTACTGTGCCCACCAGGGCTGTTCCCCTCATGGCCCTAGGCCTGCCCCACCTACTCACCGGGTTCGGGTGTAGGGATAAGCATTCCAGGATTCCTCCTCCACCTGCAGGGCAGCCTTGGGCAGCAGCGCCCGGAACCAGCCTGGGATGTGGGAGCCCACGTGGTACACCTTGTGCGTGTATTGCCCACTGCCGCCGGGCCCATCTGTGTAGGGCCGGTTGGCCAAGATCTCCACGCCACTGCCCTCGCCACTTGACTCCTCTCGGCTCTTTTTCTGCAGTCCAGGGCAGAACAAAATGAGCAGCTCAGCTCCAGCTCAGCTCTCGGGATGGGATCCCCAGCTAGGCCTGGCCCCCTGTGCAGCTCTGAGGCCCTAGTCCCAGCCTTTCTAACTCTTGGAAACCCTACCCTGGTCCTTGGTAGCTCCTGGGGTCAGGAGTCCAGTCCCCTAAGGGGTTCTGCAAGCCAGTGTTTATTCAGTCATTCAAGTAATTGTCATCTGCTCTATTCTGGGCATTATCTGGGATTATATTAATTGGGATCTGTTAATGTACAGAACAAAGACCCCTGCCTGCCCTTGTGGAACTTACATTCTAGTGGAGGGAGACAGATAACAGAAAAAAAAGGAAATTATGTGGTATGTTAGAAGGTGGTAAGTGCTATGGTAAAAAGAAAGCACACAACAGTGTAAGAGGGATAGAGTTGGGGGTTGCAGTTTCCATAGGATGGTCAGGGAAGCCCTCATTGAGAAGATAACATGACCTTGATTTGAATATGTCTTAGGAAGAGGGAGAGTGCTGAGCAGTTGTGAGGTGGGGGAAGTATTCAAGGCAGAGGGGAAGCCAGTGTAAGCTCCTGAGACGGGAACATGCTGCATGTGTTCCTAGCAAGGGGGCCCAGGGTGGGTGGGCTGGAAGAATCAAGGAGAGTAAAGGGGGTCCCCACCTTTCTAGGACCCCAAAACCAATGCCTGCCCCATCCCTCATAGTTAGCACTCAAATCCTGCCCTTATGTGGCTCTGGAGCTTGAATTTGGCCCACTCAACCCCCCTAAGACCAGATCCCAGCCCTCTTGCCTGCTCAGACTCTGGCCCCCATGTCTGGGGAGCACATCTAGAATAGGTCTCTCCTCTCTGCTCCTGAGAGCCTGCACTGCTCATCCTCACAGCCCAAGCCCAGACCTATACCCCCTTCCTCTTAGCCCAGACCTCACCCTCCAGGGTCTGCCTGCCCCTCTCCATCACAGTTTTGGGGCCTGATCCTCATCCCATGTCCCTGACTGCCTGAGATTGCCGGGATCCTTCACGATCTGGAATCCCCCTCCCAGTCCTTCCCTCCCACCTGGGACCCCTCCTCACTTTCTGCCTCCCACTCCTGCCTCCTTGTGCACGCCTTTCCTTACCCTCAAAGGATTACAGATTCTGAGGAGGATTAAAGGAGATCAGCTGTGGGCTGAGCGTACAGCAGGAGCTGGGCACTTAGAGGGTGGGGAGGTACCACTAGGCCCTTCTGCCGCTTTTCCCACAACCCTTCACCGCCACCACCCCCACTCCTACATCCAACTGGGGAACCTCTCTCTCCTCCTCCAGCCTCTGAGCCCATCCAAGCCCCAGAGCTGGACTGGAGCGGGGATAAGCTGGGCCCGGACCCCCTTGTCCCAGGTGTAGCCTGCGAGCTCCTGCGGTTATCCTATCATGAAGCATGGCCTCCCCCTTGGTCTCCCTTTTCTCACTGGCCTCACCTGGATCATGTAGAGCTGAGCCACCTGGTACTCGTCGAGGCTCATGGGCAGCAGAATGTGGTACTCCTTGATG